CTTCACATGTAAGTTTTTTTCATAAATGAATCGGCAATCTGTTAGGGAAGTGTGAGTCAGGCTAAAATCAATTTTCATTAAGACGTGAAATATCCTCATACTCACAGTTTACTCTCTTGATTAGATAAAGGGTTATTGTTTGAAATAAGCTTTTTTTCCAAACTACTACTATAGCTTTTAACCACCAATTTTATGCAGTATGTCAAAAAAAAAAAATCTTGGATTCCCTACTTCAGCAAAAGAAGGCTTAAGAGATACGTCTATTCACAGTGAATGAACCCAAAGTATAAACCTACTTCCATCTTGAGAGACGGGTGCAGAAGCTTCTGACAAAACTGCTGGGTTGGCAGGGTTTGCAGAAAAGGCAGTTTGAGCCTGAAAAAGAAAAGAAGGAAGTTCTAACAACATGTTATAAATACTTAAAATTCTTACATAATTTATAAGTTTAATCCCATACTTCCAAAAAGAAACAAAAACACTGAAGTTTTATTCAAGAAAGTTTAATTTCAAACACTTCGGCAATAAATTTTTCAAAGGAAATCTGCAAATGAAAAATATATTTCATTGTGGTTACTAGAAGCTGGGAACAGGAGGGGAAAGGAAGGATAGAGAGAGGTTGGTTAATGGACCCAAAATTATAGCTAGATAGGAAAAATAAATTCTAGTGGTGTTAGGCATCTATAATTACCAACAATTTAATGTATGTTATCAAATGGCTAAAAGAGAGATCAAGTGTTCTCATCACAATGATATACTTTTTGTGATGATGAATATGCTAATTATCCTGATTTGATCATCACACATTGTATACATGTATTGAAACATGACTCTGTATGCTATAAATATATAAATCAATGTTTCAATTAAAAAATAAATTCCTTTAAAAAAACTGAGGAAAATATATTTCATATCCTAAATATTTTTAAGATTATCATATAAAAATTGAATAAGCACCATTCTACATATCTTATAACCAATATTTTATACTGCAGCTGAAAGTTAATGAATATTTTCAAAGTGCATTCTAAAATAGATGGAAACACATTTTACATTTTCATTATTCTTTTACTAATTAGTCCAATACTTTTTTGCGTAAGGAAAAAAGCTGTCATGTTTATATAAAAAGTCACTTATCAGAAAAACTACAAAAAATTAATACTTATTAAACTGCTAATATTTGTTTCACCATTTTAGCATGTCCCACTGAAATAATCTGTATCTTTATTTCAGCAAGTATCAGAAAAATATTACAAATTATGCAAAAAAGCATACTTTACCACTTTACATAAAAGGATGATAAAATAATATAATTCATAACCGTTAAACAAATTTATCAAAATTATTTTGACAAAGTATATACTCATATTTATCAATACTATTCATGCTCAAGTATGCTCAAGTAAATCTCAGGGCTACCTTCATAGCCTAAGTCATACTAAGTATCCCACTGATGGAAACAGTTTGTCTTTTATTAATAGAGCTGACTTTCTCAAATAACCATATGTCACTTAGAGACGAGTTTTGTAAAAAGTTGTATGACCAATCTCTATCACTTCTTAAAACTTAATCAGAAATGTCAATTAAAAAATGAAGTTTATACTTATATTTCAACCTAGCCTTGAAATCAATACCAAGAGTAGTCCCAAAAATGCTTAGAGAGATGGAAGCTTAACACAGCCTACAAAAGCTCTGAATGATACTAAACTCACTTGGACTGTAAATGTTCAATATACTTGTTATTTAGACATTCTTTAATATTTATTGTTTCATAATTTGTTAAACATTCTAAATTAAAACAAAATGCAGCATGAAAATATTTATAAATGTAAATAACAATCCACAAATTCAAAGTGGGTTGAATTTTGAAAGTTCTTTCACCATCCATCAGCTAAAAGGAGCTAGAGGCCAGCTGGATTACTTCTTGAATAAACTTAAAATTGCTAAGTGCTAAAAAGAAATGAGATATCTACCAAGCCATGAAAAGACATGGAGGAAACTTAAGTGCATATTACTCTAACTGAAAGATGCCAATATGAAAAGGCTACATACTGAATGATTCCAGCTATATGACATTCTGGAAAAGGCAAAATTGTGGAGACAGTTGTTTTAGTACGTTTTGTGTTGATACAACAGAATACCTGAGACTGGGTAATTTATAAAGAAGAGAGGTTTATTAGGTTTACGATTCTGGGACAGCTGCATGTGGCATGGGCCTCAGACTGCTTCTACTCACTGCGGAAAGTGGCAGACAGCCAGTGGGTACAAGCAGATCACATGGCGAGAGAGAGGGAGGGAGAAAGGGGAAGGGAGGGAGAGAGAGGGAGGGAGGGAGGGAGGAAGAGGGAGAGAGAGAGGGAGGGAG